AAAGAGCAGAGAAACACAAATTAAGAGATAAAAGAAAGCAGCCAGTAAGTTTCCATGCATTTGAACATGTTTCTAATATATTTCTAGGAGTGTATGTTCAGTGGACAGAATATCACACTAATTGAACTTAACCATCAGTTCCCCCCTTTCACCCTTATCCCCCTTTCTCCAGCTCATTTGGAGATTAAGGTAGAATTTGCAGAGGAGAACTTAAAGGTTCTTCAGGTGAAGGAGGGTGATGGAGGAAGTTTTTTTTTTTTTTTTAAATCTGAACAACAACATAAAAATTTGTATTTTTGCTATCTAGGAAATTTTAACTTTGACTTAAGTGGTTAGGAATAGGCACAGGGTCCAAGAGGCAAGGATATTTGCCTCAGGCCCTCCCAACTACAGTCCAGAACAGAAACATGCAGGGCAAGGCAGAGTAGCATGAATGCAGAACTAAGCAGCACACCTTCTCTCAAGAGGAAAAAATAACTGAGGATGAATTATAGATCTCCAGGCCAGAGAAGGCAACAAGGCAATACTTTAGTCCCATCTCTTATTTACCTGGCTCTTTAAATGCGTTTGAATGTGTCTAGAAGGAGATGAAGGAAACAAGATGTGTTCTGCTACAGAGAAGACAACTGAAGGCTGCTTCTATAGGACCAGCACTAGGGGGCACTGGAGCAAAGTATACTAAACATGACCTGTGAGTCTGCCAAAGACCTTCAACTTTGGAAATTAGGGGAACAGAGGGAACACTCACTAGTGAAACCCAGGGCATTTTCACTTCAAATAAAGACTATTCCTGTTCTTATACAGACTTTTCAAACACTTCATTTTAAAAATAATGTTTGCTGCTGAGTTAAACTGTAACTTGAATTTAATTTTCAAATATAATTTATCATTTATAATCTCCTGACTGACTATTCATGACAGTCAGAGAATCTCTGAAAACAATTTGGTACATGTACAAAGAATCTTAAACATATGTATAATTGGTGACCCAGAAATTTCATCTCTAAGAATATAATATAAGATGAAACAAAGGAAAATACAGTATGAGCTCACGTACCAGAATTCCTATCACAGCACTGATTTTATTAGCAAAAATGTTAAAGCTAGGTATTCAAAAGGAGAGAGGTAATATACATTATAATGTATCTACATAATGGACTATTTATTCATATATCAAAATATTCTCTATTAACATTTTTAGGATGATTTGTTTCCTTTGAATTTTATTCTTCTGTTACAAAGTTTGAAAGACAATAGGGATCACTTTCATTTTTTGAGATTCTGTCTCATTATGTAGCCCAGGCTGGCCTTGAACATGTGATTATCCTGTCTCTACCTCCCAAGTACCAGGGTTACAGGCATGTAGCACCATGTCCAGCAACATTTCTTAACTGAAAAAAATGTTAGTTAATTAAAAAGGAGGTAGATACCAGTGCCTTATGTCTGTAATCCTAGCTACTTGAAGAGGCTGAGATCAGGAGGATCGAAGTTTAAGGCCAGTCCAGGTAAATAATTTGCAAGACCCCCATCTCCAAAAGAACCAACACAGAACACAGTGGAGGTGTGGCTCAAGCAATAGTGTTGTCTAATTTGCAAGTGTGAAGGCTTGAGTTCAAATCCCAGTCCCACCAAAAAAAGGTACAAAAAAGAAACAAAATGCAAAACATTAGAAATCTATGTAAGAAAAAAATACTAAACCCTCCATCAAAATATTAACAGTGGTTATCTACAGCTAATAAGATTTGGTAGTTTAATTTTTTCCCTGTGTTTATAATAAGCAAGTGCCCAAGGAAGAACCCAAATTTATGAAAACAACTCTACATTATATTTTTCTGCAAAAGTAATAAGCATGATTTATAAATTAAAAATGTAAGTGACCTCTTCAGAGACTTAAATAAGTTTCTGTAAATATACTAATTACTAAAGAAACACAGATCAGCTGGGGTGCTCCCTTATTCGCTAAATTACCCATTCTATTTTAACATTTTACGAACTAAATAAAACAAAATTACATCATATAATAGTCTTTCAGGTTGCTTGCAAAAGACTGACATTCAAATGTCAACTATATTTGGCATTTACAAATATCCCAATATCTAATGTATTACATTTAAATTTCAGGGAAAAAAATTAAGAGGGAAAAGGCATCAGTATTGAAGTCCTCTACATACTTTCACTGGCATTACAACGGAGCCATTTAAAAACACAGTTACGTTGTTAGATAGGGGATGAATGTGACATAATTGTGTTAGAACCAATTGGCTGACAAATGTTACCCATTTGTAATCTATGAGGAATTAACCAATGCACCTGTAGAAAATTTTTTAAATAGAAAAACTACCAACTTCCCCGCCAAGAACTACTGTCAAAAATTTAATAGAAGGATTTAAAAAGCACTAACAGAAGGATTTAAAAAGCCCACCTTAAAGGTGACTGATAACATTCACTTTATAGGATTTTTATGAAGATTTCATTAGAGCATTTATGTTCATGTGATTTATAAAAAGAAAAACACCAATAAAGTAACAATAACAAAAATCTCTCCTTCTAGGCTTCATATGAAATGAACAGATTTCAGCAAATGATTTTTGAATCTCCTTATGGTTCTAGCAATATGAACAACAGGAAGGACAATGTTACTATGGCAAATATAGCACAGGATAATTTATTCATTTTTCTAGGATTCATTCTAGCATAGCAATTCTATATATATGAGAAACTAAAACAGGATTACTAGGACAATCAAGGTGTTTTAGCTACAACTTTTTTTTTTTTGGTGGCACTGGTGTTTGAACTCAGGACTTCATGCTTTGCAAATCAGGCACTCTACCACTTGAGCCACACCCTCTAGCTGATTTTTTGCTGTGGTTATTTTGGATATGGGGTCTAGAGATCTATTTGTCTGGGCTGGTTTGAACCATGATCCTACTGATGTTTGCTTCCTAAGGAGCTAGGATTACAGGCATGAGCCACCAGTACCCACCCAGCCTTTTAAAGTCATTTTTTGTATAAACATCATGTTAAACATCATCAACAACACCATCCAAAAGTATGAAAAACTAAGTAAATCTTTCTGCCTAAAAAAGAAATTCTATTTCTCAGAAAAGTTACTATTAAAATCTTGTATATCTACATGTTGGAAATTTCAGTCTGGCATTATTAGCTTTAGCACAGAATGCAGAATTTTAGAGCTAGAAAAGATTGGCTCAACACAACTTTCACTTTTATAAATAATAAACCTGAGACACAGATCAATGATATTTTAGTTCCTAATACCCAGGAAGCACTATAAAATTCATAAAGTGCAGTGACATAAATGATCTGCTCTGAAATTACTTAAATGACTTGCCTTAAGGTTTTACAAGTATAAGATGTGGCCAAAAATTCAGTACCTTAGATAAGTGGGAGGCTAACAATATACATTACACATGTACAAAGCTTCACATGTTTGGCTCTTAAGTTTTTCACAGGTATCCTGCATCATACAGGGGATAGAAAAATTTGTCAATTCCTGATCAGTAATCACTATATGAGTCATTAATCATTTAAAAAGATAAATCTTACCAATGAAAGATTAATACTGAAAGTTTATGTGTCCTGAGAATTTATGCTTTTCAAACTTATCACTCAGTGAACCACTTTTATGCTATTAGACAATTATCCACACTCCAATTATAGACTATATTATAAAAGAAGAAAATTTAAATTAAGTTTAAAGGAGGACTCAACCATTAATTTTACTAAATTTTTAATTAAGTATGTAATCTAAATTTATTAAATGCAGTTATCAATTTTGGCTGAGCCAAACTTCTAGTAATTCAGATAAACAAAATGATGTCTGTGGGGGAAAATGGAAACAATCAGATAAAAGGAAAATTGAGACTACTTATAACATAATTCTTAATATAAAACTTTGACATATATTCAATATCATTTAATGTTACCACATTAAGGAACATTTAAAATCTGTGAAAAAGTAACACAGGTTTAAAATGGCTTCTGCTACTAATAAAAGAAGGCTGATTTTGACCCAGTTTTTTTTTTTTGGAAGTACTGGGGTTTAACTCAGGATCTAATGCTGGGTATGCAGGTGCTCTACAAGAAGGTTAATTTTAAATTTTTCTTTTTAGGGCTGAAATTTATTAGTCGAATTGGAAAACATGAGGCTAGCCAAAGTATTACCATTCTTCTAAGTAAAAATAAGTAATAAAAAACAAATAATAAAAAATCTAACTACATTCTACATGCAAAACAATCTCAAATTATTACTCAGGAAGAAAAAAACTTTCTCTGAGAAAAGAATGCTCCACATTAAGATACTGGTTAATACTGGATAATATGCAAAAGCACTTATTATTTTTAAGGCTAAACAGCTTCTGCTTTAAGATGAGGATATGAAAACATATTAAAATCAATTTGTTTTTTAATCAAATGTTCACTTTTTACTTTTATGTTCATCAGAGGCCCAGACTTCTCTAGACTAGGAGTGTTACTTTCTTGGACCTTACTATTTGTCACCTAGCCTCTGGGTGTATTTTCACTTAGGTTTACAAGATCATGAACAGATTAAAATTAAAAAAATTATCTGACATTTTAAGTTGGTTTCAAATTAAAGCGTATTCTTCACTTTTGGCCCACAGGGGCCATGCTGCCAGATTTAAAAGCTACACACCTTTCACTATTACTATTTTTCTGACAGCATTTCACCAATCAGATATCTCGTGTCTACACTGTTATTTCTTGTATTTTCATTGTGTGTGTGTGTGTGTGTGTGTGTGTGAGTATGAGTGCACATGCATGTATCTATTCCTTCAAGACTTTGCCTATCTTCCAACAGAAGTAAATACATGGTCATAAGATAAAGCAAGAAGCAGAAACAAAAAATTACCATATATTTTATAAAGATTATAATAATATAACTGACAGTAACTATCCAAAACTGAGTTAAACAGGTTATTATTTTAATAATAACCCATCTGCCTTCAGAAACTGTTACTTACTTTGGAAGGAGAACCATCAGTAATTTTCACCAATTGCCAAAGAATCGAGTAATGGGAACACTGCAGTGCCTGTACGACTATCTGTGTCAAATGAAAAAAAAATTTTAATGAAAATTCAAACATATGTGACAATTTATGTTTGCACAGTGGTTGCAGAATAATGTTTACACTGGTTTTTATTTTAAATTCAAATTTATATACAATTAAGAATAGACAAAGTATTTGGTTAAAAAAAGATAAACCAACACATCGATCCAGAGAATAAAAGTAGACCACACCCTTGGTAACACACACTCAATGTGCTTTAAACAAAAATGCAATTTCATGCTTTGTAGAGATTTTTATAAAAGAAATTGATGGGATTCCAAGATGGCGACTACAGAGAGGAAGCAGAAAGAGTGCTTCCTACAGTAAAATCTTGGAGAGATGCTAGAGATACACCTTGCAGGGAAAACCACCGAGAAGAGGGAAAACTCTGATCCCCCCACACCCCCAGCCCACACATACCAACCCCACTCCACGTTAAACAGAGAAACCAGAACTGCTCCAGCACCGCCAGACGCCAATGCCTAACCTGCTTAGGAGAAGCAGGCCACCACCAGGTAAGCTAAGTGGCACACGGGACTCCCACAAACAACCCTGGGCCACATCAGAATAGCCCCCTGGAAAGAATGACACCCATCTGGGAAAAAAAAGAGAAAAAAACCAAACTGAGGGGAAAGGAGGGGGCCAGGGGAAGTGTGGAGAAATAACCCAAACATTTTATGCACATATGAATAAAAAAAACACCAAACTGAATAATAAACAAGCAGCTGGGAAAAAAAAAAGACACCTAGCAAAGAGGGTGGGGAACCCTGAGCTCCAGAGAGTGGGGTAGGGGCACACCCCACTTGAACTATAAATAAACAAGCCAGCCAGAGAAGGCAGGAGTGGTGGCACCCGCCCAGCAACCTTAGAGAGGGGAAAGCTTGTAACAGTGGCTGTCCTGTGGAAAGCTCCACCTGAGCTGGGGAGGGACACTCACTCACATGAACTGTAAAAAAGCAAGCAGGCTGAAGTGTGGCACCTTACACTGGAGAGTGGGGGAGGGTCACCTTCCCATGGCAACTCTAGATAAAAACGACTGGAACTGCAAAAGGCCCATAGGGCTGTGTATTGGAGAAAACAAAAGGGGCATGCCTCCAGTAGAACTCTAAATAAACAAAGCCTGCAGCAGCAGATGGCTGACAGTAGGAGGCAGGTGAGCCACAGCCTCAGATAGACATTCACAAAGCTGTTTCCAGACTCCCTGTGTTTTTCTTCGTTTCCTTTGATGAGACGACAGAACTAGGACTGGATGCTGAAGGACTAACTGAAACTGTATTGCATTTGAACTTGGGATTTTGTGTGTGTGTGTCTGTGTGTTTGTTTTTTCACCTTCGATGAGAAAATGGCAGAACTACTTCTCAGACTGAGAAGTCTTCAGGACTAACACCAAAATTATTAACACTGAAATTTCATTGCATTTGAACTTGGGGATTTTTAAAAATTTTTTATTTTAAAAAATTAAAAAAAAATTTTAAATTACTTTATTTTTAACATTATTATTATCCTCTCTATGTCTTTCTAATGCCTATTTAGCTTCCATTGATTAGTACACTAACTCTCTCTGTTTATTTCTTTGGCTCTGTTTTTTTTGTTTGGTTGGTGTTTTTGTTTATCTGTTTTGTTTTGTTTTCCTATTTTCATTACCTTCTTTGCTGTCCCTCTTCTCTCACCCTTCCATTCTAGATATCACCATTGTTATTATTACAAGCTAGACAATACTAAATTACACACAGTACAGGGACAGCAACAATAGCAAAGGCAATGATGGGAAAAAAGAAAAAAGAGGGAAACCATTTCCCCCCCTAAAATAAATTAGTACAGGAACCAGAGGGAAATGAAGAAAACAGATACCCACATCCAGACTCCAACAAAACGAAGATAAACTATGCCAAAAAACCCAATGAATCCCACAAGAACAACCTAAAAGAAGAAATCCTGCAAGTACTCAATGAGAATTTTATAGAGATGATACTGGATAGGGTCAACCAAAATGTACAGGAGACACTCAAGAAATTCCAAGACAACAAAAATACAGAATTTAAGAAAGCACAAGCACAAATAAAACTATAGAAGCACTGTATCAACACCAGAGTGTAACAAATAACACGATAAATACAGAGATAAATGAACTCAGTGTGAAAATAGACAATGTTAAAGAGGAAAAGACTCAGGATATGGAAAATCTCAGAAAAAAGAATAAAACAGAAATGCAAAACAAAATGGAAGTCCAATCCAGCAGAACAGAACGAACAGAAGACAGAATCTCAGAACTCAAAGATGAAGTGGTAATTAAAGGAAAAACCAAAGAACTATTAGTTAAACAACTCAAGACCTGTGAAAAGAAAATGCAAGAACTCACTGACTCCATCAAAAGACCAAACCTGAGAATCATGGGCATTGAAGAAGGAGAAGAGGAGCAAGGAAAGGGAATGCATAATATATTCAACAAAATAATTACAGAAAATTTTTCCAAATCTAAAGAAAACTATGCTCATACAGGTACAGGTGGCCTCCAGAACTCCAAACACACCTGACCAAAATAGAACTGCCCCACGACATATTATCATTGCAACAAAAGTACAGGGAATAGAGAAAGAATATTGAAAGATGTAAGAGAGAAAAAACAAATAACATACAAAGGTAAACCCATCAAAATCACAGCAGACTTCTCAACAGAAACATTAAAAGCAAGAAGAGCTTGGGAAGAGATCTTCTGGGCACTGAATGAAAATAACTTCAACCCCAGGATACTCTACCCAGCAAAACTATCATTCAAAATAGATGGAGCAATAAAAGTCTTCCATGATAAGCAGAAACTAAATATGTGACCACAAAGCCACCACTACAAAAGATTCTTCAAGGGATTCTGCACACAAAAAGTGAAACCAAACATAACCATTGAAAGGCAGGCGTACCAAACCACAGGAGAAGAAAAGCAAGAAAGTAGAAGAGTAACATCAATTTAGCTACACACAAATCAAACCTCAAACAACTAAGACAACTAAATGACAGGAATCACCACATACCTATCAATACTAACACTTAATGTTAAACGGACTTAATTCCCCATCAAAAGGCACCGTTTGATAAATGGATTAAAAGGAAGATCCAACAATTTGTTGCTTACAGGAGAACCCATCTCACTGACAGAAATAAGCAAGGCTTAGGATGAAAGGCTGGAAGAAGATTTACCAAGCCAATGGCCCCGAAAACAGGCAGGAGTAGCAATACTTATCTCTGACCAAAGTAGACTTCAAACCTATATTGATCAAACGAGATAAAGAAGGACATTCCATACTAATTAAAAGGGGAAATAGACCAAAAGGAAATATAAATTATCAACCTATAATGCACCCAATGTCAAAGCACCCAATTTCATCAAACATACCCTGAAGACCTAAAAGCATATATTAACTCCAACACAATGGTGTGGGAGACTTTAACACCCATTATCATCATTAGATAGGTCATCCAAACAAAAAAATCAATAAAGAAATCCTAGATCTAAAATATACATAGATCAAATGGACCTAGTTGATGTCTACAGAACATTTTCATCCAACTTCTAACAATATACATTTCTCTCAGCAGCCACAGAACCTTCTCCAAAAATTAAGATCATATCTAGGCACAAAGCAAGCCTCAGCAAATATAAGAAAATAAAAAATTATACATGCATTCTATCTGTACAATGCAATAAAACTAGAACTCAACAACAAAATAAAGACAAAAACATATGCAAACAGCTGGAAACTGAATAACTCATTGCTAATGAACAATGGGTCACTGATGAAATAAAGAAGGAAATTAAAAAGTTCCTGGAAGTCAATGAAAATGAAAAACAACCTACTGGAACCTATGGGACACAGCAAAGGCAGTCCTGAGAGGAAAGTTTATAGCCATGAGTGCATATATTAAAAGACTGAAAAGATCCCAAATCAATTACCTAATGATACATCTCAAACTCCTAGGAAAAACAAGAACAAGCAAATCCCAAAACAAATAGGAGAGAAATAATAAAAATAAGAGCTAAATCAATGAAATAGAAACCAAAAAATCCATACAAGAATAATGAAACAAAAAGTTGGTTCTTTGAAAAAATAAATAAGATTGACAGACCCCTGGCAAACCTGAACTAAATGAGGAAGAAAAAACCCAATTAGTAAGGAATGCAAAAGGGGGAATCAACAACAATGGAAGTCCAGCGAAATTCATCAGAGACTATTTGAGAACCTATTCAAATAAATTTTAAAATCTTAAAAAAAATGGACAGATTTCTAGATACTGTGATCACCAAAACGAACCAAAGCAATTAATCCACCTTGAATAGATTCTATAACACCAAATGAAATTCAAGCAGCAACAAGAGTCTCCCAAAAGAAAACTCTAGACCTGATGGATTCGTCTTACTGAATTTATCAGCCTTTAAAGAAGATACTGATTTACAATCCTCTTTAAAGTGTTCACGAAATAGAAAGGAAGTATTACACTTATCCCAAAACCAGCAAAGATGTGAATGACCTCTACAAGGAAAACTATAAACTTCTGAAGAAAGAGATTGAGGAAGACTATAGAAAGTGGAGAGATCTCCCATGCTCATGGATTGGTAGAATCAACATAGTAAAAATGTCGATACTCCCAAAAGCAATTTACATGTTTAATGCAATTCCCATCAAAATTCCAATGACATTCATCAAAGAGATTGAAATACCTACTGTTAAATTTATATGGAAATACAAGAGGCCACGAATAGCCAAGGCAATACTCAGTAAAAAGAACAATGCTGGGGGTATCACAATACCTGTCTTCAAACTATATTACAAAGCAATAGCAATAAAAACAGCATGGTACTGGCACAAAGACAGACATGAAGACCAGTGTAACAGAACAGAGGACCCGGATATGAAGCCACACAACTATAACCAACTTATCTTTGACAAAGGCACTAAAAATATATGATGGAGAAAAAGACAGCTTCTTCAACAAAAACTGCT